TGTTCTCAAATCTCTCCAGGCCGGAGAGTGAAACCTTTCCCAATATAAAGGTAACTTAGTAGGAACGACCCCCACCTTATGGTCTTTTTCCGATACTCATACTCCTACCTTGCATACCAGGACTACATCATAGGGATGTAGGTCGACACTCAGACAACCAGTACCCGAGGCACTATGCCTAATACATTCAGGACAGAAATGTTCAGGGTTAGCCATCGTCTCTCATTATCTTGTATTCCTTTCCATGTAGGAAAAACCATGCGTCCAAAGAAGCGTAACCAGTCCACAGGCAAGAAACCTACACTCTTATTCGATGAAGCTACATTCCAAGCTGCAGTCTCAGCAGCTGTCATGGCTCACCTGAATGCTAACAACGCCAATGTTAGCAAGGTGCCTATCGAGATTTCCGATCCTAGCAATGGACAACAGCAACCAACACCTTCATACCCAGCCACCCAAGAACCTCACTCAAATCCACTGAAGAGAAAGATCAAGATCGAGGAGGGAAGTACCTTGGCTCAAGGACCTTTCGAAGGGCAACGAGCTGAGATGGTCAAATTCCCTACCAACCCTTCCATCCATACACTTAGGAGACCATACTTAGGAAATCTTCCCCATTACAACAAGTGCAGCTACCATCATCATGGTATCTGTCGGGAACTCTATTGCGCTAGGTGCCACATGTTGGGGCATACTGCTCGCGTCTGCAGAACCCCGGTTGAGTTCATTATATCAACCACCAATGTGGCGACCCGTACAGTTTTCCACCTATGTGGTGAAGTGGGACACTTCAAGAAGGACTGACCAACCAAAGGGAAAGACAAAGACACAGGAGGAGTCTAACTCTAATGCTTAGGGAGAAGCATCAAGGAACCTAGTAGATTTTGGTACATCTCTCGATCTCAGATAACTAAACTGAAAACAATAAAAGGCTAATTCAATGTAAATACTTCCCCATTAAGGCGAAAGTTGCAGCACTGTTATAAAATTTAAAGATCATTAGGTAAAACTATAACGGCTAAACATATACGTTACAGCCACGTATAGTTAAGATGGAAAGACCTAGAGTGAGTGAAGGCCGCCTCATTTCATGTTCCTCGTTTGGTTGTGGATTTAGGGCGGAGTCGCTCAGTCAACGGTCCTCCCCACCTTAATTATACATGACTAGGATATGTTAGACGATTATAGAAATGCCTCGTGAGAATCCATTCATGAAAAAGGTACTCTATTCGGAACACTTAGGACTCTCTATAGTTCTGTGTCGACTCTATCTGTCCAAGTATCCGCGGCAGTGATACACAGGACAAAACCCGAGACACCTAGAACTTGTGTGCCTGTTCGGCGCATGACTCTATCGACCCTCACTTTATATCATTTTGGAGTGTGCCAACCTCGACGACTCTATCGATCATGGTTTGACTTCGTTCAACCATGTGTTCATCCCTAGTGATGTGTAAAAAGAACTTTCTGCGTAGCCCTTTCGGCAAATAAAGGTTCTTCCGAACCTAAACAAAATAAAAAAAGTAAAGACTAATGCGATCCGTCAGTCGCCCCTCTTATCTCAAACCTTCCGAAGTACCCAGGAGAAGGGTACCGCGCGCTGTTAACCAACCCTCCTTAGACAGATAAGAACCGCAGCGAAAGGCACTGCATGCATTCCAGAAGACGATAACTACCCGAAGCATACCTAGTAGATTCCCTAGAAAGACCCTTCGTCCTATCCCATGGAACGGGAGCTAGAGTCAAGAGAACCCTACGGATTGAGCTACTATAATGACCACAAATCTGAAGTTGTTGTCATTCTGCTTGAGCCAACCTAGTAGCTAGCACCCTCGGTTGATAAAGAAACCTGAGTCGTAAGAGACAAGGACATGGACTACGACCATCCATTCACGCTTAATCCCCCGAATTAAGCATCACGACGAATATCCTGGAAATCCGAGAGCTGCGATAAAGTAAACTCTAAGAAGAGTGGATGAAAAGATTAAAGTTTCGAGTGATGGGAACCTATACTCACTAGATTTGACCTAGACCGAGAATACTCAGAACCTTCGGAAGAAAAGTGGCAGAAGAAGCTCGCACTAGTCAGGCACTTCATCCATCCTGTTATAGACAAGTAGTGCCTATCATCCTCCACCCTCTCGCATGGAGGAAATCGTCGTCGCCCTGTAGACGATGAAATACATTATCCGAAGTGAACACTAGAATACCGAGAACCATAGGATAACCTACGCAGCCAAGAATAATTGATTAAAGTGCGAAAGTAGTTGCGTTAAGCCTCATGACCCAGATCCCGAAGGGATTATAGACTTGACACCAGCCTTGGTGTTAGTCGAGAGGTTATGCAGGAACATGCGCTTTCCGCACTATAATAAACCAAAGTCTTAGAAATTCATTGGACTACTAGGTGTTCATGAATACTGTCTCACACAGAAATAGTAGAACCACCTCCTGAGATAGTCCAACACTCGTCTGGTGAAACCCTATCTCCCCGACCCTGAGGGTTTCCGTGTCACAAGAATCGTTAGTCTAGGTTCATTTTGCACGAGCTTGAGATAGACACTCTACAGCAGACGTATAACCATAGTCACGCAACCCATTCGATGACCTAGAAAGCCTCTAAAAGCCAATTGATGGGAAAACGCAAAACCAAAGACAACCCGAGCTTCCTAAGAACCAACCTGAAGGACTACACTACCAGTACGAGAGAGAACGTTAGGAACTTCGGAATGGCGATCACGCCAGTGATGATCTTGCCATAGAAGTACACTATGTTCTAAGTACTGAAAAGCTCTACCCTTCCGAGAGCTTAGGACCATCTGAGAATTCCCATGGAGATTTGGTCCAACCTTCGTCACACCACTACTACTTTCGGATATTCCACAAGTTTCACACTCGATCGATCCACTTCTTAGACTAGATATGTGATTACCCAACATCACTCTTCGTACCCCACTCGTTGTGATAGAAACCATTGAGAACCCTAACCTCGTAAGATACACCAGACGGAACCCACTAGCTACACGAAATGAAATTCGCATTCTGTATGTAAAGGTCTATTGGAATGACAAACACAAATCGGGGTTCACTTGGGAATGCGAGGACAAAACAGAATAGGAAGAACACTCTTACCGCTACTCGGTCATTTATACCAATTACCTTGCCTAGACCTGAATTTTGGGACGAAATTCCCTCTAACGGGGGGATGATGTGACAACCCAAAGTTATTCCGTTACATTACCCTGTTACCGTTAACGGAATATTCCACTGTATAAAAGTTTCGTTAATTAGAGGTCACCAATTAAATAAATATTTCATTTATTTATGTCGTTAAGTCCTGATAAGAGAAATAAAAACTCATAATACACATTTCCATTTAGTTGGAAAAGTTAGTTTTTATTATTACGACCACTAAATCGGGTGCGACCAAAAGCCCTGTTAAACGACAGTATCAGGTAGAATATCACTGAGCTCCAACTCCCACCCATATATAAGGGGGAGTAAACTCCATTTGAGCCTTTTCCACCCTCTCTCTCTATACTCTCTCTCTAGACTCGTTTTTGACCCGAATCCGCAACCAAACGGTTCCAAATCAAAAGTCCACTTACCCTAGCTTGTTCTAAACATTACGACTCGTGATTATAGCTTAAAATTCAACCATTTAAGCTGTTGAAAAGGAGTTCATGGCCTAAGATCCTCCTTAGGCCATAAACACCTTAATTGAGGCGAAAAAGACCCAAACTTGTCCCTAAAAGCTTGGAGATAAATTTAGGATTTAGCCTAGGAGTGTTTGCTCATTTAAAACAATCAAATTGAGGCATAAAAGAGATTTTATGGACCAAGCACATGCTTAGGCCATAAACACCTCTAAACCTTGTCAAAATGCCCCAAACACACTTCCAAACCACCCTTAGGCTTCATACATAATTTAGGGACTTGGTATTTTGGGTTTAGATCATTCAAACACAAAGATTTGAGGGGTTAAAAGGATTTTACGGCCCAGACATATGTCAAGGCCGTAAACACCCCCAATCTTGCCAAAATGTTAGTTTTAATTCCTTTAAATGGCCTCACACTTCATTATAAATTACTAGGAGGGTATTAGGGGCTTAAAACTTCAATAAACTCAAGGAATAAGAGTTCACGGCCGTGAACTCCCTTAGGGATGGTTCATGGGGCATAAACTACATAATAGAGCCCTTAAAGACCTTAAACTCATTCATACCTTTTAGTTTTGGACCTAGAAAAATCCCACGAACAAGATTGAGCCTTTAAAACACACTAGAATCCCTCACCATGAGTTTACGGCCGTAAACTCATGGGGAGTTGGTCCATGGGCCATAAACTAAGTGTAGAGAGTTTACTCTTGGAGAGCAAACTCCATTCCTAAG